CCATAAACCCGTGTCCAGTTAGTTTAAAAATATTGATATCACTCAGAGTATGTTCTCTGACCATCAGAATTAAATTAAAAATCAACTAACAGATACCTGAAAAATCTCCAGATATTTGGAAATTAAATTATTTAAATACAAGAATCTGTGGCTGCCTTAAAACGTACACACACACACACACACACACACACACACACACCTTTATGTCAAAAGCCTTTATGTCAAAAGACCTTTATGTCTCACCATTCTGGGTGTTGACTGTGCATTTTTTTTGCAGGTTTTTCCTGAGATTTCTCAAGAAGCTGCATTCATCTTAGAGGGTCTGCTAGAGGGTTGGGCCTTTTTTTCCAAATAGTCTTTAATCCTCAATTATGCTAAACTGGGCTTTCTTACATGATAGAGACACGTTCCAAGAAATCAACTTCCAATTGCACTTATCAAATCTCTGCATCAGATTTGCATATGTTCCATCAAAGCAGGCCACATGGATACACCCAGAATCAGTGCAGGAGGGGACTACTTGGATAGCAAGAACCATGATTCGTTGGGAATAATAATTTACCAAAATCGATAGGACTTTGGTTAAATCACTTTTCTCATCTATAATGGAGTTTATGATATCCATCCAGAGAATTGTATGGATTGAATGAAATGGTATCATCCTATACAGTTCCTAGTACATGTGATAAAAGTTGTTTGGAGTGTTGTTGTTGTTTTCCAATTTTAGTATATGCGCTGCCGAAGCGAGCACAGAGTGTTGTTGTTGTTTTAAGATACCAAAGGTAATTTAGAATGGCAGATACTACCATCTACCATTATTCATTTCCTACACATACCAGGCACTGTCCTAAATAGAATTGCAACAGACACAGTCCTTACCTTAGAGAAATGATATTTTGAAGGTAAATTAACTAAGCCCATATTAGATCTACAGACTTTATAACTCTGTCAAGCCACAAAGTTTCATAAACTCAGTTGTGGCTTGACATTTGGATATGCTTATGTTAAATTTTATATTAAAATCAGTTAATTGACATTGATAATACACCAAGAGAACATATCTATAAGATACGTCTATAAGATCTGGCTTCTTAAAACATTTTTAAAAGCTCTATCTCTTACGATGCTTGGGTGGCTCAGTCAGTTAAGCATCTGACTCTTGATTTCAGCTTAGGTCATGATCTTAAAGTTCTTGAGTTCAAGCCCCACATCGACCTCTGCACTGTCAGCACAGCTTGCTTTGAATTCTGTGTCTCCCTCTCTCTCTCCCCTCCCCTGCTCATACTCTGTCTCTCTCAAGAATAAAAAATAAACATTAAAAAAATGTAAAAACTTTATTTCTTCAAAAGATACTACCAGGAAAGTGAGGGTACATGCATGTCATCTGACTCTTGATTTTGGCTCAGCTCATGATCTCACAGTTCTTGAGATCAAGCCCCATGTCAGGCTCTGCACTCTGAGATTCTCTCTTTCTGCCCCTTCTGCACTCGTGCATGCATGCTTTCTCTCTCAAAAAATTAAAATTTTTAAAAAGCTTTTTATTTTTTTTAAATGTTTTATTTATTTCTAGGAGAGAAAGAGAGAGACAGCATGAGCAAGGGAGGGTCAGAGAGAGAGGGAGTCACAGACTGAAACAGGCTCCAGGCTCTGAGCTGGCAGTCAGCACAGAGCCCGACGCGGGGCTCGAACCCACGAACCGCGAGATCATGTCCTAAGCAAAAGTCAGACACTTAACTGACTAAGCCACCCAGGCGCCCCTTAAAAAGTTTTTTTAAAATAAAGTGAAAGAAAACACACAGGATGGGAAAAATTTCTGAAAATCATGTATCTGATGAGGGATTTTTATCTAGAATACATAAAAACTTAAGACAAGGGGCACCTGGATGGCTCAGTTAGTTGAGCAACTGACTCTTGATTTCAGTTCAGGTCATGATCTCACTGTTTGAGATCGAGCCCCATGTGGGTTCCACACTGAGCGTGGAGGCTGCCTGGAATTCTCTCTCTCTCTCTCTCTCTCTCTCTCTCTCTCTATCTCTCTCTCTCCCTCCTCCCTTCCTTCCTCTCTCCCTCCCTCCCTCCCTCCTCTCTGTCTCCCTCTCTATCTCACTCCCTCTGCCTCTCTCCCCCACTCATACTCTCTCTCAAAATAAATAAATATTTTTTAAAAAGACAATCCATTTTATAAATGGACAAAGGGTCTGAATAGACACGTTTCTCCAGAGAAGTTACACAGATGACCCATAAGCACATGAAAAGATGCTTGACATCATTAGTCATCAAGGATATACAGATCAAAACTACAATGAGATATTACTTCACACTCACTAGAATGTCTAGAATCAAAAAGGCATATGTTAACAAGTGTTTTCTAGATGTGGAGAAATGTTAACCCTCACACCCTGCTAATGGGATTATCAAATGAGCAGAACACAGTCTGGCATTTCCCCAATGGTTCAATATAGCATTATTTTATGATCAAGCAATTCCAGTCCTATACCCAAGAGAAATGAAAGCATGTTTACACAAAAACTTGTACACTAATGTTTAAAGGAACATTATTCATATTAGACAAAAAATTGAAATAACCCAAGTGTTGGTTAACTAACAAATGGATAAATAAAATGTGGTATATCCATATAATAGACTTATTTAGCCATAAAAAAGAATGAAATAACTGATACATGATACAACATGGATGAACCTTGAAAACATTATGCTAAGTCAAAGAAGCCATTCACAAAAGACCACATATGGTTCTATTTATATTAAATGTTCAGAATACAGGCTGTTGGGTGGGTCATTCAGCAAAGTGTCCAACTTCAGCTCAGGGCATAATCTAGCCTTTTGGAGTTTGAGCCCCACATCAGTCTTTGTGCTGACATCTCAGAGCCTGGAGCTGGTTTCAGATTCTCTGTCTTTCTCTCTCTCTCTCTCAAAAATAAGTAAACATTAAAAAAAACTGCTAAAGAATGTTCAGAATAGGCAAATCTATACAGAGAGAAAGTAGAACAGTAATTGAAATGAGGAGGGAGGTAGCAATAAAGATACACGATTTCTTTTGGAGGTGATTAAAATGTTCTAAAAATTGATTATGGTGATAGTTGCACATATCTGTGAATATACTTTAAATCATACATTTTAAATGGGCAAATCTTATGGTATATGTAAGCTTTATCTCAGTAAACAGTTAATAGAAGAATAAACAGGTTTTTGCAAGGCTGTTTACCAAACAGTGTCTCCAAGCCAAAAACTCTAATTGCTTTATAAAGAAGATGTATATGAGTATATGATGTCCAAACCACTGAGTTGTACACTTTAAAATGGTTAAGATTTCTCTATTCTGTGACAGTTTCTATGTAACATGAATTTTATCTCAATTTTTAAAAAAGTGTATGCTTAAAAATCTTAGGAATACAACAGGAGAAACTTAACAGAGGACCATGGGGGAGGGGAAGGAGAAAAAATAGTTAAGGAGAGGGAGGAAGGCAAACCATAAGAGATTCTTAAATACTGAGAACAAACTGAGGGTTGATGGGGGCTGGGGAAGAGGGGAAAATGGGTGATGGACATAGAGGAGGGCACTTGTTGGGATGAGCACTGGTGGTTATATGGAAACCAACTTGACAATAAAATATAATTTTAAAAAATTGAAAAAAATCTTAGAAATACAAAATAAATTCATCAATGAGAGCTGAGACAAACAAGTCAGAGCTCAGATAATTTTTTTTCTAAGTAGGCTCCATGCCCAATATGGGGCTTGAACTCATAACCCTGAGATTAAGAGTCACATAACTCTACCAACAGAGCCAGGCAGGTGCCCCCAGAGCTCAGATCAGTTTTGATACCAGCTCTCCCAGTAGAGAATTTAGAGAGTGGTCAGAATCACATACCAGAAACGTTCAGTGTGCACACTTGTTTGTCCAAAAGTCCCACAGAAGGCTATAAAGTGAGAGTTGGAATTATCAAATAATCAACATTTTCTCAGTGGAACCTTCAAATGTTGAAGGAAGAAACTACATCTCTAATACGTGGAACAGTGAAACAGAGTTTACCACTTGCTAAGCAAAAGAGAGTGATATTTATAAACACAGTTTCTGAACAAAATAGAACTGATATATAGGGTTTTGAGAAGTGTGGATTTCAGAGATTGGCAGATTTTCAAAACTGAAAGTGTTTTACAGATTGGCTCACTTCTGGCTGTGACATAGGGATTGGTGGACTGTCAGAAGCAGGAGCAGAAGCTTGACCACTGGTGATTTCTGGAGTAAGGCTGTGGTTGACTGGCTGCCTTGCAGATGCGTGGGGCTGTCACTGATTGGCTGACTTCCAGAGGCATGGCTATTAGAGCAAAGCAGTTACTATTGATGGGGACAGCTTTAGACTGGTTCTGTGGTTACTTGCTTATGGCTCAGAACAGGAGTCTTTCCGTTTCTTGAATTTGGAGAATAGGAACTTTTTATTTTCTTTTACTCTTTCTGACAGCTGCATCTTAATTTAACTTCAATCTTTACCCAAGTAGTTCAGTCTGGAGTCATGGAAGTTTTTAACCAGGGTGTTTAACATGGTTTTTAACATGGTGATGACATTTGCAAACTTGTAAGAGGTAGATTATAGAAAAGAAAAAGTCCAGAAGATGGGTTAAAAGTCTGTCAGAAAGGCTAGATTTTAGGATATTCTGAGGCATAGCATTGTTAAGAGGAAAAGGATGCAGACTTTAAGGTGTATCAGTATCTTCCTGTTCGTAAGTTATGTTTGATGTATCTTGTTGAGATGCAAGTGTGTCATTTGCCTTCATTTCTGTTCTTGAGTTTCCTCTTCTCTCCCTACTTCTACTCCCCTTCCCTCTCCACCTCTTTCCAAGTGAAAAATTAACATTTATGCCAAGGAAGCAAGCATTGCTAGTGAATATCAAGATTATTCTAATTAATAAATCAAGAATAATTTAAAAAATGCATTGAGGAAAAAATGTCAATTTCTCACCATTTTCTTGGTTTTCTTAGATAATTAAGTTGAAAGCTGAAGCCCGGCTGGACCTGCTAAAACAGATTGGTGTTTCTGTGGACACATGGCTAAAGAGTGCAATGAATCAAGTAATGGAAGAACTGGAAAATGAACGCTGGGCTCGCCTTCCCGCAGTGACCAATAATGGCACTTTACACTCGGTAGGATTTCTCTTCTTGACTGTGATGGGCAGACTTTCACTGAAGGATGCCATTCTTTGACTGTGTCACCAAACCTGATAATAGCCAGAATTTAAAAGGAAAAATAATGGTTTCACTAGCAGTTTAGTTTCTTTTCTTTGGCCATTCACTAATTGAGTTAAACTTGGTGCAGGAAGAGGGAAAAAGTCATGCTTTTTTTTTTTTTTTTTAAATATGCAGTGAAAAACATCACTGGTTTATTAGTGCCACTTTACCAAACTCCTTACCCCTTCATGAAGTAGATATGCTTCTTGTCTGGAAGTAGTGGAATAAAAATTTTAATGTGTTTCTGAAGTTCTCAGAGGTCTTCTCTGAAAACTGATATCCAGAGAGTCAGAAACAATCTTAAAAAGAGAAAAGCGGGTGCCTGGGTGGCTCAGTTGGTTGAACGTCTAACTCTTGGTTTCAACTCAGGTCATGATCTCACAATTCATGAGATCAAGCCCTATGTGCTTGGGATTCTCCCTCCTTCTCTCTCTGCCCCTCTCCTGCATACTCATTCTCTCTCTTTCTCTCAAAATAAATAAATTTAAAAGAGAGAGAGAAAAAAAAGAAAGGAACACTTTTAGTCTGTCCCTTAATTGTTTGATTCACAAGGGCTTTCATACTCTGCTTCCTGTATTTTTCATGAGGGAGACAGTGCAAGTATGGTGTTACAAACAAGGCCAGAGCTCAAGCGGGTGTTTTCTTGCTTCAAGTCCAGGGCTTTTTTCCACTTTGATGTCATCCAGTTCAACCTTAGTATTTCATGTTGGAGATCTGAGTGCCAGAAAAGTTGATTGATTGCCTGTTATTACATAAGTGGATATATGATATCTAGCTGGTCAGACTAAAGTAATTCCTACCCCTGCTTCCTACCTATTACTCTCTCTCATCCTGTTTATTTCTCTATGTCATTTATTACAGTATATGCCCGTCTTCTTTATATGTGTTCTTTGTCTTCCTCTCTGCAATGTAATTACCATGTCTTTCTGATCCAGTGCACAGTAAAGTGCCTGGCACATAGTAGGTACTCAATAAATATCTGCTGAAGGAAGAAATGAAGGAATGGATGGATAAATAGATGGAACAGTGGCAAACTAAAAGCTGAAACTCTAATGTCACAACTCTAATCTCCTGCTGTATCCATAGTGCCTCTTCAATGCTTGTGCCCTTCAGATAAAAGGCATCCTTGCCAGAGAAATTGGCTAAAGTTTAAGAACATTCCTGAAAGTTTTGTCAACTTTTTCACATAGCATTCTGATTTTCTAATGGGAATACACTTGCACATTTTAAAAAGATTGTGTGTAGGTGTGCATTTTAAGGAAAAGCAAATCTATTGAAAGTTTATTTTTATTCGACTACTAATGGTAATCCAGCTAGGGAAAATAGGCACACATCACCTACTTGACTTCAGGGTTAGAAGAGCCTGGTCTGTTTTCATACAACAAAGTTACTCCATGTCATGGAATATCTCTTCCTAATGCATCTTTTGAATGTCACAGTTACCATCTACTTCAGGTTATTTTGCTGTACAGAATTAGGATGACAGCAAATTCCAGGCACAAACTTTCTGTTGGCCTCTTCAGTAGCACTGTTGGCAACCAATAAAACCCATGATTTCCCTTGGACTAGTACCTTTTCTAACTCAATCAAGCGGGCAGGCATTTATCCCCTCACTGTGTGCCTACTTCCTGAGCAAATTGGAGATGAATAAGAAGTGGACTCTCTCCTTGAAGAGCTGCCACGCTGGTAGAGCAGACAGACCTCAGACCTTTATAGATCTTAGTGATCCATGGCAGTGTATGACTGGGTTCCCCTGTGGCAAACTTGAAATGCCTACTCCTAACTCATCACCACACCTTGGAAAAAAGCCCCTTCTTCCTGGGTTTCAGAGAGAAAGTTAAATGATTCTAAAAACCCCTCCAACTCCAAAATCTTACAATTTTGTGAAATGCTATTAAAAAAGGTTTAATGCCAGATGGAAAAATAGAAAAGACATTTGCCCCATGAAGGAAATGTCAGTTGAGATAGTCCTTGAAGAATTTTAACATGAGATAAAGAAGGGCCTCTGAGTGTGAAGGAAGGAAATAAAGGAGATAGGCCTAGTACAGTCTGTCAATGAGTGGTACATTCTGGTAGTAAGTGTTGAGTAAATTCAGTATTTTTGAGAACTGTCCAAAGACATGAGCTCATCTAGAAATGTCACATTTTCTGTGAAGAGAACATTTTGCAACCCCACCCCACTCTTCCCTTCCCTCTAGTCAGTACCATGGAGCCTGTGTCACCCAGCGTCCAGCTGAGGGATATATTTTGTGGGAGCTCTGCTAACAGTGCAGTAGCACCCCCTTTTCCATGGTGTCACTTTTCTGTTTCAGTTACCATGGTCAACCATGGAAGCAACTATCTGAAAGCAGATGATCCTCCTGACTTACTGTCAGGTCAGGAGTAGCTTAACGCTGCATTACAGTGCCTACATCAGTCACCTCACTTCATCTTGTAACATAGGCATTTTATCTCACATCATCACACGAAGAAGGGTAAGTACAGGACAGTAAGATATTTTGAGAGAGAGAGAGACCACGTTTATAAAACTTTTGTTACAGTATATTATTGTAACTATTATATTTTATTAGTAGTTACTGTTATTTATCTCTTACTGGGCCTAATTTGTAAATTAAACTGTAGTTTAGGAATGTATGTATAGCAAAAAACATGGTTTATAAGATTTGGTACTCTTGGTACTATCTGTAGGTTCCAACACCCACTCGGGGTCTTGGAACATATCCCCTGCTTATAAGGAAGGGAGGCTACTGTATAAATAAAGGAGAGCTGTAGGCACAAAATAACTTAATGAAGTTCCAGTATTTATTTAACCTGCTTGAACTGAAATAATTTAGAAGAAGTTGTATCTCTTCTCTTCACACTGGCAGCTAGCTGACTAGGAGCATGAAGCAGAAATACACATCTGGGGACCAAATTATTTCTTCCATTATAGATGCCAACAAAAGCAGTAGTCATCAAGTTGAGAATTCCCTTCCATCTGGTAAACATGGTTAATTTTAATGTTAGACATTAATGGTGTAAAGGGCCTTATTAGAAGATAAATGTTTTTAAAATATATAGTCTGCTTACCTTATAGAATAAGGAAGGAACTATACTTACTTGAATATTAACTTTTAACCTTCTGTATTATGCTGTGGTACAGATATATGGTTGGGAAGAAACAGAGAAAGAGAATCATAGAATATAGCAATGTTTTTTAATGGAGAACAGTCTGTTGATACAGTTACTCAACGATGGTTAACTAGAACTCATACATAACCTCTTATGGTTAGATTACTACCAGTAGCCTAGGCAGCCTTCCCATCAGTCATTGCTCCCTTCTCTCCTTTTCCTTTCTTCTCTTACTCAAAAGCCCATACTCAGTTTAATTTTGAAATTATTTTAATTTTAGGATAGAAAAAGTTGTAAAACTGGATTATAAAAAAATTAGAAAGTTAGGTGGGAAAAAAATGACTAAAAACTCCATCCTTATAACACCACTGCTAGTAACTTGATATAATTCTGTCCTCTTTCTAGTCTTTTTTTTAAAAAACATATTTGTCATACTAAAGTTGATTTTGTATATTTTTCCATCTAGTATTCCATTTTGCTAGAGAGTCTTCAAAATCTTTCTTTTCATGTCTGCGTAGTATTCCCTCAGGAAGGCATACCATAATACATTTAACTGCTCTTATAGGTTCAGTATTTAGACTGCTTCCAGGTATTATAAATAAATAATACTCTGAAAGATATTTGTGTACATACTTCTTTTTTCCAAAGTGGGAATAGATTTCTGTAATATAGATTCTTAGAAGTAGAATTCATAGGTTAGAGATTTATAGTTCTTTGTTTAAGGTTGGTTTTTGTTCTTTTTTTTCCCCCTAAATTCTGAAACTATAGCTGACAGTGTTTACATGATTTCCTTATCTTCAGCCATTTCCCCTATGATACACAGACATCCTGGCATCCACTTTGTTGCACAACCTCCCTAAGAATGTAAGCATTTTGCAGAGTTGCATAGATATAAATCCTGACTCTCCTCATTGTGAAGACCATGCTGAATAATGTGTTTGAAAGGCAAGGAAATTAAATATTTTTAGCCATTAGGATGGTAGTTTCATTCTCATCTGCCTCGTTAATGCCTAATGGTCTTTGCAGTATAATGGGCTTTGTTTTTGAAATACGAAAATCTGTTTGTTGGCTGGTACTGATCCCAAAGAAAAGAAACAATGGGTTTTTGTAATGAAATGAATGTAAACAGTAGAAAATAATAGCATACACCTGCAAAAAATTTTAGGCACTTCTGTATTTACAGTTTTTCCAAGTGAGCAGTGATCTTGTTATTGGATTAAACTCCATACCCAAATAGGCCACACTATTAGTGAAACTGACATTTCATATTTTCAGTAGGATCAATTTAAATCAATTCAGTAAGTGTGTATGGAGCCTGCACTCCTCATGAGACCCCTTGCTAAGTACTGGGAGTTACCAAATGGAGTATAATGTCTGCTGAGTTTGTATTCACAGATTAGAGAACAAGTCTCACTAACAGCCAAGACTAAAAGATGGCCATTGAAATAAATGGAGAATTTCAGTTCTAAGAGAAGTGTCTCCCGCTGTATTATGTTATTTGACTTTCTGCATAGCCAAAACAAGTAAAGTGGCTGACACAAATCCTTATACATAGTACATGTTCAAAAACATTAATCCGAACCTGAAGATAAGCAGTCTAACTTCACCAACTAACCTTAAAATACTATTAAAAAGAGGAAATTAACAAAAAAGCATCTATACTATACCTGATACTATGTCAGGCACATTCATACATTATTTCAGTTAATGATCACAATGATTCTGAATGTATTTACAGATGAGGAGATAGACTTGGAAGAATTAAATATCTTGCCCAGTGGCACATGGCTAGTAAGTGGAGAGAG